AAACTATTATTTCTTCCATAAAGTTGTTTTTTATTTCACAAGCTTTAATTTTTACCGGTTCTTGATCTTTCAACCAGAAGAATAAGAACTTTAAAAAAACAGTTTTTAAAGTCTGAATTTTTATTTTAAATTATAAGCAATTTTGTAATGTAGAATAAAGTCGTTGCGCACTTTGAGAATATTTAAGCCTTGTATTTTTAGTTTCTGATCATAACTAAAATGTTTAATAAACAGCATTACGCGTTATTGGACACGTTTGAGTAGAGAAATTTAGAAATACAAAACTCTAGATGCGGACTAATTTACAGCTCGTACAGTTTTTTCCATAGCTAGAGAGCTCTGACACCAAAATGGCTTCTTGAGACAACCAAGTATTCAATTGCCAACTCGTGCTGCTGCTTCTACTTTTACTTTTATGTTGTTAGATTTTAGTATTACAAGGTCACACTCAATGCATATTGAAACTATGGTCACACTCAATGCATGTTGAAACTATGGTCACACTCAATGCATGTTGAAACTATGGTCACACTCGATGCATGTTGAAACTATGGTCACACTCAATGCATGTTGAAACTATGGTCACACTCAATGCATGTTGAAACTAGATTGCGTCCGTTACAGTCAATGTCAACCATGGTATTATTAAATAGTTTTTGTGACAACCTACTTGCATTACTTTGCACTTCTTGATGTTGAAATTCACAAGGCAATTGTGCGACCGATATACTGCGCTGTCGGAGTCCGCTTGCATTTTTTCATAATCAGAGGAAAATTCATTGACATTGATAACTCATGTGATCTTGCCATCATTGGCGTATAATTTGGTATGTTTATAAATGCAGTTTGGTAAGTCATTGATGAAGAAAACAAATTGCAGTGATCCAACAACTGATCTTTAAGGAACTTAAAGATCAGTTTTTTTTATCATTCGTCTTTTTTACTAAGAGATTTATTTTCTAACTAATACTCATTGTTCTCCATTAGCTAGCCAACTATAATACATTTTAATAGCTGGCCTCAAGTTTCATAGGCATCAATTTTGTAAAGAAGTTGTTGTGTGACATTGCATTGAATGCTTTCAACTAGGTGTTCATGGTAAACTGCTTTCGTTAAAAAAGCAGTTTACCATAAATATACATTGAGATTTTTACACTCCTTAGGCAGTTGTTAAATTTTAGCAAATAATGTTAATTAATTTAGTTTGTTTTTTTTTAATTTTGCTATTTAAAATTGTGAATAAATTTTTTTATAGAATAATTATAAAAGCATTTATAAAATTTACGTTAAAATTTTTTTTTTTGGATAAGACTTAGTGTCTTTGTTAATATTTTTTTTTACTTTTTAAAATTTATTTTACAAAAAAAATCTCATTATGGTATTTTTTTGGCGCCCCTATAACCGTGGCGCGCGGGGCACGTATACCCCTTTTTCCCCTCCCTCTCGGCGGCCCTGGTAAAGATTGAGCATGATAAATAAAGAACGCATTGCTTCGCTTATAGACAAGATGCAACAAAAATTTGCGAAAATGGTGATTTTGTGTTCACTTCATGCTTGCAGTTTGCATTTATTATATGAGATGCAGGTGTATGCAAAGAGCTTATCTGTTTTTGATATTGTTGGTTGACGCAAAGATTTCCACAGTATGTTAAAACAGGTATAATAGTCAACTGGCAAATTTGTTCTGTCGGGTCTAGGTCGATACCTGTATTAAAAAACGTTTTGGGGATAATGCATTGAACCTTGCTGTATATATCTATAGTAATTAGAAGAGTTTAAAAAAATGTTCTTTCAGAATATTTTTTGTAATTCTTTCAATACTTTAGAATACTTTAATAACAATAAATAATAATAATAATCCATGAAATAATAATATTAACAATGTATCCATAGTGTAATAACTTAAAATTAACACTGCAACATACCTAGATAAATTTAAGCCAAATGGGTTTTATAATGAAAACTTTTTAGTGTGATATCATAATGATCTAAAGCGTGATATAAAAAAGAATGTAAAGTGCGGGAAAAAAAAAACTGTTTAAAAGTAAAGTTTTCTTCACGGTTCGAATTCGTTGTTTTTCATTAATCAAGCACCAGTTAATTGTCTTCTTAATGTAAAAATGAAACTGCAGAAGGAAAACAAATTACAAATCTGTTCATGGAATCATTCTAACATTTTAAACTGATCAAAAGCTGATGATCAGGAGACCAGCAAATACTAGGCCAGGTGCAGAAAAAATAATTTTTAAGTTTTAAGTGTTATTAAAATTACTAGAAATAGTAAGATGATTCACATTGTTTTCCAAAGGACAGATTACCAATGGACAGATTATATTTAAAAAGAGCCTAAAATTGAAAAAAAAAAGACTTTGTTTGAGTATCCTGACTTACCAGTTTCTTCTAAAGTTACCTTAAGAACAGTATTCAACATATCGTTTTTAAATATAGAACCCGAAAACGCAGTTGTGAAATCCATAGATAGTTGCTATTTGATTATAGTTTCGTTCTGCGCTTATCATGTTTATTTTTTTTTATTTCTATTTAATTTTATCTTATTTCTTCTATTTTTTATTTTTTTTTTTTCATTTAGGCGTATGATATTTTTTGGCACAGGAAAAGTAGAAATCTCTAATTTTTTTAAGGATAGTAGTAACCTATAACAATGTATGTAATACTATAACTGATAAATTTGTTCGTTGTTACTCAAGTAGAAAAAGTCTTTATAATTTAGCCTTAAAAATTTAACAATATACGTAAAAATTGTAACATCACAGGTCATTACTTATTAAGACTTATTAAACAATGACTGAGATGTAGAAAAAACCATAGAATTTTAATGTTAATTTTAATGAATTTATTTTTATTTTTATTTTTAACCTTGATTAAAAAGTTTACTTAAGACTGTTATTATAATAATTAATAATAAATATAAACCAATAATAATTAATAATAAATATAAACCAATAATAATTAATAATAAATATAAACCAATAATAATCTTAAATATTATTTTAAACTTTCGCTTCTCTAAAGTTTAAAACGCTGCTTTTTTTTTATTTAAAAACTTTTTATTTTCATGTTTATTTGTTTAAAGTATTAGTTGTTTATTGCTTTTTACCAAGTAATGAAAAGTGAGGAATCAAAAAAAGGTCATTTTCAAAATGCTTTTTATTTTTTTAACAAAAAAAATCATAAAGTTATACCTGCACATTCAGAAGCTGACAGGACACGCTTTTATTTTAAGTGAACTATATTTGGAAATTATCCGTTTATCTATACTCGCTATATAAAATGCAAAAACATGCATTTACTGATTTCAATTTAACTACAACTGGTTTTTAATTAAGAAACTGATTTCTAATTTGAAAAACTGATTTCTAATTTAAAAAAAAAAAAAAACTAGTTACAAGTGACGCCAACACTCACACTGTGTTGACCTTTAAATCGATATTATTACAGTAAGTTAATTTAAAAATTATCAAGTGCTAGCTACGCTTTTTTAGTTGTCGTTGGTAATTTTTTTGAGGTTTAAGCACATTTTTAAACTGCCTTTTTTTTTACCACAATTATTAAATTTTTTATATACTTTAATTAATCATTTACTTCATTGATTTCATTCATTTCTTTATTAGAGATCTTGATACACACCATTCCTTTTATTTTTATAATAATCAAAGATTATATTATATAAATATTTTTATAATATTCAAAGATTATATTATATAAATATTTTTATTAATCAAATTGTTTTATATAAACATTTTTATAATATTCAGAGATTATATTATATAAATACTTTAAATAATCAAACATTGTATTTTATAAATATTTTTATTAATCAAACATATCATTTAACTATATTTACTGATCAAATTATGTTATATAATCAAAAGTTATAATATATAAATAATTTTATTAATCACACAGTATAATAAATATATTTTTTTATTAATCGGCACACTGATATCACAAAATATTCATTTTTAGAATTATAATTATCATTTTTAGAATGTTGTTATTATCACTGTTATCACAAAATATTCATTTTTGTCACAAAATATTCATTTTTAAAAAGCTTGTTGCTTCCAACTAAGATGTTTTGTATTTTTTATTTATCAATCAAGTTTTATAAAAATACGTAATGTTGAACGCAAAATAATAAAATCTTTGCAAAATTGTTCTATTTTTTATTTATTTTTATACAATATTTTTATGATGGGGGAACTGGAACATAAGTATGTAGTTACACAATCACGAGCTGGTACATAAGTATGTAGTTATTCCGTTATGTAGTTACTTATTTGCTCCAACAAAATTAAGATATATATTTTTGGTTTATAAAAGCAAAAAAATATTAAACACTTATCAATTAAAATCTTAAACTTAAACTTTTATTTGAAAAAATTTTATTCATTAAAACGTTTTTAAATTAAAAGTCATTTAAAAAAAAAAAGGGCTTACAGTAGTACATGTATTTACTTTTCATATTTTGTCTTATCTTGGAAAAAGTAAGCAAAAATAGTTCTTACACGTGTACAAATTTTTAATTTTTAACAAGAAATATTTTTTAATTTTTAATTTAGTATTCATTGCTGCTAGGAGGTAATAAATAGAATTTATAAAAAAAAAAAAGAAATGAAAAATACATAAATAGCTTGCTAATAATAAAATCGCTGGTGTAAGTTAAGAAAATTAAAAAAAGTTAAGTAAATTAAAAATGGTAGCCCACAATTTAAAAATTCGAAGTGTGACAGTTTTAAAATGTTTAAAAGTTGGTAAATGGTAAGTTTCAAAGAATGAATCCATGTAAAAGATGATTAGAACTCGTTTATACAAAAATATTCATTAGGAAAAACTAAAAAAAAATTGTAATTCTAAATCAAATGGTAATAAATAATATGCTTTGATGCTTTAAATAAATTTTTATAATTTTTTTAATTGAAATGTTAAGTTTGAAGTTATAACACTATCGAATAAAAAAAATATTTTAAAATGTTTACCTCTATTGAAAGAACTGAATATTGTTTAGGGGTAAAATACGGTGGCGCCACTCAAGTTGCTATTGTTGCTTTTTTGTTTTAACCAAATGTAATAATAAATATCATATCCAAATTTATGATTATTGCTCCTCCACTTAACTCCCTGGTGCCCCTCGTCTTTTAAAACACTTTTTTTTTTACGCTTGACACAAACAATAAACAAATTTTTTATTAAGATCTTTGTTAAAATATTTTGGATCATAAATAAAGTTTTAATTTTGATATTCATATTACTTTATACACTCAAATAATGTATGAAAAATAAATAAAAATAATGTATGAAAAATAAAAAATCTTATTATTTTGGATTAAACGAAACTTTCGTAAAAATAATTCCTATTATAAATTCATTAAAATTAATAATTTGCGTCGAATATCAAACTAGGAAAAACAAATTCAAAAGCAATTAAAAATAAAAGCTTTGAACTCCAAGTGAATTTCGACTAAAAGCACCTTTTTGGATACTTCCGGTCATTTTCTATCTTTGTGACGTCATTTTATTTTCGTTTTCCACAATTTTTTTTAAGTTGCTTTTATAAGTAAATAAACCTTATTGAAATAATTTTGTTTTTATTGCAAACTTTTTTGACACCCTTAAAAAGAAAATAATTTATTTAAAAGAAAAAGCATTATGCAAAAAAGTTCCATTATCTAGAGTTTTTTTAACCGCATGTATTTTAAATGACGTCATATAAATACCGTTTTGCTAGCGGAAAATTAAAAAAAATTAATATAAAACACACAAAATCAACTCAATTATTTCTTTTTTTTAATTGTGTGCTTAACGACATGTCTGGTTTGAAATTTAAAGCTTTTAGGCCGATTCTCTAAATGTTTCTTCTACTTTTTTTAATCAATCATTTTTAAAGCATCAATTTATATTTTTAAAGCATCAGTTTAGGCCCGTATCGTGGGGGGTGGGGGGTCGTTGGGTGCGATCGATCCCCCTTTTATGCAAAGTGCCTTATTTAATTTCACGCCAAAAATTATTTATAGACTCTTTTCGATGTCTAAATATTTAATCAAAATTTTTATGATAATTATTCGATTTTTAAGAATCATTCACAAACGTCATTACAAGTCATTGCATTGTGAAATCTGCTGATAAAAAAGAACTTCAAAATGCTGCAAAGAAATGCAAATCGTTAGCTGGATATTTTTAGTAAAAAAGTTATTTTGATCTTCTTTTTATAATAATTAATTTGATTACTTTGATATTAACTAGATATAGATATTAACTAGATGTAGATATTGTCTATACGTTAAATTTTTTTATGATAGTACTTTTGTTGTTACTTGTTTTTTATTGTAATGTTTACTCGAGTTTTTTTAATTTTGGTATAGTATAATAATAATTGTATTATTACAAAGTAATAGCATTTTAAAAAACCGACAACAAATGTACCCGTACATTGTTGAAACATTAGGTAGAATAGTGCATTTGATGGGGAAACAAGGACTTGCATTTCGTGGAACTTATGAAAATTTTATGGAAAACTCAGACCAAAAAGGTAATCCTGGATTAACTTAATGCATATATAAAAACATCTATACGCAAAGATGTCAGCTACCTTGGCCCAAAGAGTCAAAATGAATTAATTGATATAATTGGAAAGAAATGTATACAAAAGCGGCTAATTAATGAAATCAAAGCTGCAAATTACCATTCAATTTCAGCAGACGAGGTAACATCTGCAAACCAACAAATTCTATCAGTATGTATGTGATACGTAAACGAAGTAAATGAAATTAGAGAAGTATTTCTTGACTTTTTGAACCTTGACAGGATAACAGGCAAACATATTGAGGCAAGTTTGATGAAATTTTATAGCGAAAGTGGAATTGATCTTAGTTCTTGTAGAGGCCAGTGTTATGTTGGCGCACCAAACATGCAATCTGTAAAAAAGGTGTTGCCAGCTATATTTTAAAAGGATCACCAAAAGCAATTGTAACACATTGTAGCTCACATAATTTGAATTTGTCAATAGCTTTAACATCAAAAAAACCAATCATTGATAACATTTTGTAGGTATACGGAAATATATCCATTTGTTTCAATACCTCTCCGAAAAGAGAGCGCTTGCTGGGGCATGTTGCAGAGATCCGTTGTAAATCAACTGAAAGAAAAAAGACTTTGATAGGGATGTGCACAACAAGATGGTCAGAAAGAGATGCCGCATATTAACACTTCTATTTAGCTATACCATTTATGGCAGAGGCATTAGAGATTATTTTAGGAATACACTCTAATATAGAATATTTATTATATTAATAAATAATTAATATAGAACAGTTCAATATAAAGTTTAGTATGAATTGGAACGTACAAGAAAAAAGAGAGGCCAACTCACTCCTTGATGCATTCACTAAGTTCGAATTCTCAACTGGTATAATAATTTGTACCTCTTACTTCACCCATAGTTGTATATAACAGAGAGGTTACAAGGGCACACAACTGATATTGTGTATGCATACAGTAACATTCATTTGTGTATCCATACAGAAACAATCGACGATTTGAACCATATACGGAAAAATGTTGAAAAAGAAACTTACGTAATTTACTAACAAGCTACTCGTATGGCAAGTAAACTATTTGTATAACCAACGATTCCCAGAATCACTATGTAACAGGCCTACAGAAATAACGTACCTGCAGAGGGTCTCCATGAACATTATAAACGGGGCTTGATTATACCTTTTCTCGAAACCATCATTTCAGAAATCAAAATACGATTTCAAAAAACATATTGGATTGCTGCTAAGATTTTATGCTTGTTTCGATAATTTGGTGTGAAATATATATATATATATATATATATATATATATATATATATATATATATATATATATATATATATATATATATATATATATATATATATATATATATATATATATATATATATATATATATATATATATATATATATATATCAGGCAACCATGATATTGTATTTGTAGAAAAGAAACCTTACAACAATGGGGCATAAATATAGATAAATATTGATTAGAGTTAAACAAATTAGCTGAAGAAGCAAAAAGAACAATAATTCACTATAAAAGAAAAATGAACATATGATGGGCACTTAAATCTGTTTGGCATTAGATCTAACAGTTATGGTATAGTAGAAGCGCAACACGAATTGCTTTTAAATCGTTTTAAAAATTATAACTTTTTTGATAAATGCAAAACATATTTTGACACTACTTTTTAAACACTGATAATAACATGACATCAACAGGCTAGAACTTATTTTATGTGACTTAATAACAAAAATATTACTTTTATTTTAAGTAACAGATTATCTGAAAGTCTGAAAATTAGAAAACTTTTGAAGTTATAAACATAAGTGTGAAAAAAAAATCTTGGATAGTCAGATTATTTTTAAGAAGAAATTACGGAACATATTGTGTTAAATTTCAGGGCCGACGAAACGGGTTTTGAAAAGGAGGGGCACATTTGACAATTTCTAAAAACTAAAATAAGTCCTCTATATCTGGAATTTTTTTAAAAAAAAGTCCTTCAGAAAAAAAGTGTGTGTGTGTGTGTGGGGGGGGGGTAGAAGGGGAGAGCACATACCCCCTTGTCCCCCCGGTATTGTTGACCCTTATCTTTACATATTTGTGCAAAAACTCTCTTTTAAACCTAAACCTTCATTTTCCTTACCCCATGCAAGGTTTATATGAAGAGCTGTGTACTGTTTGGAACCTAATGTTTTTTATAGCCAGCTCACACATGAACAAAGTAATGAGATAAAATTTATAGTTGGTTTTGTTTCGCTATTCTGTACGATCTGGTTTATAAGAACTCCTTCATTATCCTGATCTGCATACTTATGATGTTAAAATTTGGTCAAGTATAAAGTGTGTATAAAAATAAGTATAAAGACCATGAATTGAAAGGCCTATAAAGAATCTCTTAGAATTAAACCTATGGGCTTCATGGAATAACTCTCAAGGTATTTGGATCAAACTCTGAATTCGCTTGCTTTTGTTGACCCGAATACTTGCACCGAGGAAAAGTAACCTTTTTTTTTCTTTTTATTTGAATTTTCATACTATATTTTTCTATACAATGTTCTTATATCCAACAATATTGTTTGCTTAACATAGGAACAGCCACAAATAGTCATTAAGACTAATCCAAAGTAGCGTCCGTTATTGACCAACATTTTTACGTACCAAAGTATTACTCAAGCGCTGAGTTGGCGGTGGCAGGATTTAAACTCGTATCTTACAACGTCCGTAGTTATAATACATATATATATAAGATATGGCCTTCTAGGTGAATAACAAAAAAAAAAAAAAAAAAAAATGTGTATATATATATATATATATATATATATATATATATATAATATATATATATATATATATATATATATATATATATTATGTAAGAAGATTACGATTTTATAGAGAACTTAAATTCTCAAGTACTATGAAAAATAAGTATTTCTGCTTTGCTGAAGGGCGCAACGAGAATGAGGCATAGTGAACAATTTGTTAGCGCCATGTTATTAGTCAGAAATAAAAAAACCTAATCAAAGTGTCAGCGGCATTGAATAAGGTGGCGTACTTTTTTCAACCTCAAAAACTCAAAGATATTGCAGAAACCCTACGCGGCTGAAGAAACTTTGCCATTTCAAACAGTTTGTCATTATCTGTTCTACAACTCGATATCCTGCACAGCTGGTTTAATAAACACGTTGTTTGAACATTTGGAAATTGCAAAAACTATTTGTGCGCAAAAACAAAAACTTGAGACAATCATTAACCGGGTAATATCCCCCAAAACTGTTGATTAACTGGTAAAATTCATTGAAAATCATTAGATGACATTTCTTGTTTCTGTCTTTCGACATAAGGTTTTCAACGGTATCACGGTTCAAAGAATATATTTCCGATCGTTTTCCAATACTTTGTCTGAAAGGCAGGTAAAAAGCATAAGTTTTTTAATTTGCTTTTTAAAGCTCCCAAGGTAGAGGTAGGCTCATAACTTCTTAAGCTGACGTTTCTTTTTTTTCAATTGCCGCGATATTGAAAATTGAAAAAAAAGTTTACTGCTTAAAGCCGAAGATATAAGATAAGATATAAGAAAAACATATAGATAGCAACAGAGAAGAAGATTATAATTG